TGAGACTGTATTAATAATCTGTGGAGATGTGAATACAATTGTGAATCTGTCTGGCAACATTGACCCAAAGGCACACAGAATTCTGGGTAGCAATCATATGACTTCAACCTAGAGGTTGCCTTATATTGATGACTCCTATAACTGTTTATCTTTTAAAACTGAATCAACATTAAAGATTTGGCTGATTCCATGCAAAATACCACATTTTTATCTTATGATTGAATCTGGCAGCACAAGTTTACAGGAACAATCAGCACATAATACATGTCCATTGTCACCCGTGGACCCAGCATAACTTTCCAATCTCTTAGTCACATCATATCCTACTGTTCACATTGATGCTATACCCACTGCTATTGGCTGGGAAACTTTCTTTGTTATCTTCCTTTAGACCTTGAACCTCTTTCTTGAGAATAAGTAAAAACTAAGAATAGTGTGTGTTTTTAAAATAGTTTTTGTTCCAGTGGCAGGTATGTTACTATTTAATAGAGTGGGTCAACATTATTATTTCATTTGAACATGTTAAAATACTATACTTAACAATATGGTTCTATGACTTAATACTTTGTTCCCATTGAGTGAGTTTGAGCAGTGAGCTTCAGCAGTTTCCCAGTCTAACCTGAAGTTTGGCTTCAGATATCCCATGGATAGAAACATTGCTTCAGCAGCCCTTCTCAGCCTCCTTTTCAAAACAGTGAAGCTGTCCAGTTTTTTTTAATTCTTTTTCTTGACTAAGTCATTCTTCCCCCCCCCTCTCTCTCTCTCTCGTGGGGCTGAACTCAGTGCCTTGCACTGAAATACTTTAGACATGCCCACAGCCCTTTTGCTTTGATTTTCAGATAATATTTGGACCAACTTTTCCCAGGCTCTCCAAACACCAGAATTCTCCTACCTCTGCTTCCCAAGTAGCTGAACACTCAGTTAGCAATCCATTAAAAATGTTTTATTGTTATTATAAAGGTGATGTAAAGAGGAAGTGCAGTTACATAAGTCAGGTAAAGGGTACATTTCTTTTTGGCCAATGTCATCTCTTCCCTCATCATTCCCCATTTTTCCCTTCTATCCCTGCCCACAAGTTGTATAGTTCATTTTCAACATAATGTCCAATGAGGCCAAACAGTCCATTTTTAAGGTTATACTATTATTTACTGTCCCTTGGTCTTAAGGCTCTGAACCAGAGCCTAAACCCTTAAAAATATAATTTAATTGTTATTATTAAGGTGTTGTACACAAGGTTATCATTTCATAATTCAGGTGATGAGTATGCTTCTTTTTGTGGACAATGCCACCCTTCTTTCCCATTCCCCCAGCTTCCCCCTCCCATCCCTGTCCACATGTTACATGGTTTATTTTCCACATAATGGAACCATGATTGCCTTTGTTCATCTTCTCTCCCTCCCTTTCTGCCCTCTCTTTTGCCCCCCCCACTGCAAAAGTCAAAAGAAAAAACCAAAAGCAAAGACAATCACCACCAACATCACCACCAACACCACCAATAACAACAAACTCCGTGTTTCAATTTCTTGGAATTTATTTTGATAAATGGTATTTTGAATATTCAGAGGAGTTACACCTCTGAGTTCCCCATGGGTATCTTTTAGTTTGACTGTTTATGTGTGAAGCTCTAGAGTCCTGTATAGGTCATCATTTTCAGTTACATTTTTAGATCTAGCTTCCAAAAATGAGAGAAAACGTGTGCCATTTGTCCCTCTAGCTTGGCTTACCTTAGCATGATTTTTTTTTTGATTAGTCATAGGGCTTGAACTCTGGACCTGAGTGCTGTCCATCAGCTCTTCAGTTCAAGGCGCTAGTGCTCTAACACTTGAACCACAGCACCACGTCTGGTTTTCTGGTGGTTTATTGGAGATAAGAATCTCATGGAGGCATAGAATTCCATTGTGCATATATACCACATTTTCTTGATCCATTCATCTGCTGAGGGACATCTGGGTTGGTTCCATATCTTAGCTATAGTAAAAAAAATGCTGCAATAAACATAGTTGTGCTGGTAGCTTTAGTATGGTCTTGTTTGTGATCATTTGGGTAAATGCCCAAAAGTAGGATTGCTGCATCATAGGGGAGCTCTATGTGGACTCTTTTGAGGAACCTCCATACTGCTTTCCAAATTGTTTGAACAAGTTTACACTGCCACCAAAAATGTAGTAAGATTCAGCATCTGTTGTTATTAGAGTTCTTGATTATAGCCTAGATCCTAATGGGGTGAGGTGGTATCTCAATGTTGTTTTAATTTGCATTTCTTTTATGGCTAGGGAGGTTGAGCATTTCTTCATGTGTCTATTGGCCATCCTTCTTTCCTCTTCAGAGAAGTTTCTCTTTAAGTCTTTAGCCCACTTATTTATTGGGCAGTTGTTTCTTTGAAGATTTGTTTTTGGGGAATTTAATTTTTTGAGTTCCAGATATATTTTAGATATGATACCCTTGTCTGTTGTATGGCTAGTGAAAATCTTCTTCCAATCTGTGGGCTTTCTATTGATCTTGCTAGCTATGTCTTTGCCATGCAGAAGCTCTGCAATTTCATGCAATCCATTTATCCAACCTTTCTTTGATTTGTTGTGTTTCTGGCTCTCTATTAAGAAAATTTCGGCCTGTACCAAGGAGACCTAGGGTTTGTCCTGTTCCATCCTGTAATGTTTTCAGAGTGTCTGCTTTGACATGGAGGTCTTTGATCCATTTGGAGTTGATTCTGGTACAGGGTGATATATAAGGATCTAGCTCTAGTTTTCTACAAGTAGTTAATCAATTTTGCCAGCACCATTTACTGAAGAGGCTGTCTTTCTTCCATTCAATTTTTTAGCTCCCTTATCGAAGATTAGATGGCTATATGTCTTTTGGTTCATTTCTGGGTTTTCAATTCTATTCCATTGATCCTGGGGTCTGTTCTTGTGCCAGCCTCTATCAGAAAAAATGACATTGCCCCATTTGTTAGGAAATGGAAAGACTTGGAAAAAAATATATTAAGTGAAGTAAGCCAGGCCCAAAGAAACATAGGTCCCATGGTTTCCCTTATTTGCAATAACTAGTATATTTCTGAGTCATGCAGAAAAGGCCAGATAAGTTGATGTTAGGAGAATGAACCCCAAGATAAGAATTCAAATGTTTTTTTTTCCTTTCATGCAGTTGTTTCTAACATATTTATAAGATGATTTCTATGTTGCTTTGTATGTCCCTTTCCCACGGTATAACCTATGCTTTCACTGTATTTGATGTTGGTATAATTTGTGGAGGGGAAGGGAAAAAACAAATCGTTTAAATAGGGATACAGCTGGACCCATTGCAACAATAAGATGTACAAGTCATTATGTCTAAAAACGAACTTCACAACTTTGGTGGGGGGAGGTTTGAGGGGGAGAGGGAAGGAGTTTGGGAAGGGATGGGAAGGGGAAACAAAGAGGAGGCAACAATGCTTGATAAGAAATGTACTCGTTGTCTTGCCCATGTAATTGCAACTCCTCTGTACAGTATTCTCACAATAAAAATAAATAAATAAAAATAAAAAGAACTATGTTGCTACATAAAAATAAATAAATAAATAAATATATTGAATAATATTTTTTTGAAAAAAGAATCTCATGGCTTTTCCTGCCAGGGCTGGCTTTGAACTATGATCCTCAGATCTCAGCCTCTTGAGTAGCTAGGATTATAGGCATGAGCCACCAGCTCCTGGCAGCATGATTTGTTTTAGGTCCATCCGTTTCCCTGTAAATGACGTACTTAAATTCTTTCTAATGGATGTGTACCATTCCATAGCACATATGTGCTGTATTTTATTGATCCACTCATCTCTTGGGGGGCATCTGGACTGATTCCATAACTTCATTACTGTGAATAGTTCAGTAATGAACACATGTCTTTATTCTATCCTGACTTGCAATGTTCTGGGTAGATGTCCAAGATTGGTACTGCTGTGCAATAGGGAAGTTCTATGTTTATTTATTTGAGCAACCTCCAATCTGCCTTCCCGGGTAGACATACTATGAACTCCATTTTTATACAGACCTTTTACCAAAATCTTGGACCTGATATAATGATTGATATAATTTCCCCATCTGCCTACTCTTGCATCTATCAAGTAACAGCTAACACGATAGAAGGAGAAATGTACAATGAACACACTAGAAATTTGTATGTAATCTATTGTTCAATAAAGGGCTGTGAAGAAAAATAGCAGACTAAAGCAACAGAAAATGAAGATAAATAGGAGGAGCTATTTTTATATTATCATCACCTTAAAGAACTAACTTGTAAGCTAAGAACTGAATGAGGCATCATAAGATACTGGAGGTGTGCTGGAGGATGAACCTAATTGAGCAGCAGCAGGTGCCAAGAAGCAAGAAGGGAAATAAAGTTGAAATTCATGACTAGTAAGAACTATCATGAGATGAAAGCCTCAGGCATATAGGCCAGTGTAGATTGTTGAGGTTCTATTCTAAATTTAACAGACAGGACTGGAGTCTTTTCTAGTGAAGATTTTCAGATCTCGTTTAATACATTCAATGGAAGAACCACTCAGATCACTCTAAGGAAGGTAAAACAGATGGAATAAAAATAATAACAAAAAAAACTCTTGTACAATATAATTTTGATTTAGTTTAATAAGTCACCATCTAGTAAAGTTTAACCAATGGCAATATTAGATTGTGTCCACAAGTTTTTATTTTCCAATGACATCAAAAAAAAAGAAAAGTTATAGAGAAAAGGGGAAATTTATATCACATGCTAAAGCATTAGCTCCTCTGAAAACAAATTGGATAGGATAAGTAGACTTTGCTTCCATCAATTATCTAACTCCTTGAAGGAGTAGGATTTCATATTAATTTTCTACAGATGGCATGCCGAGGGACAAGCTGTTTATTTTCTCTTCAGTGGATAGTAAATATACCTAAAGCAATTGGAGCTTCTGTTTTGAGAAGGAGAAGGCTTTCAATAATTATTAAAGTGAACTATTATATTAATTTATTTCCTCAAAATATATTTTTTAGTGTCCAGGAGGAGCATTTACACCCAATATGCGAACCACCAAAGAATTTCCAGATGATGTTGTGACTTTCATCCGGAACCACCCTCTCATGTACAACTCCATCTACCCCATCCACAGAAGGCCTTTAATAGTTCGTATAGGCACCGACTACAAGTACACAAAGATAGCTGTGGACAGAGTCAGTGCTGCCGATGGTAGATACCATGTCCTGTTTCTTGGAACAGGTGAGTCAAACTACACTTCAAAGATTGTGTTCCAATATAGGTAGTAAGTTAGGACCTTTGTATGGAGAGCAAATTGCCTCTGATATTTCCTTTTGTCTGGAATTCAGAAAGCTATTTAAACCTTTTGGTGACTGTTTTTACATGTGTAAATGAAGCTAATAAAATAAATTATGTATTTGTTGTGAGAAATGAGTTTGTCAATGTTAAACAGCTGGAAGAGTTCCTGATACCTAAGTAAAATATAGGAATATTATATTTTTATTATATTATATTATATATGATTTTATACTCAGATCATAATATGAGCTGAATTGAGGACAGGAAAGATTTTTTTTGGGGGGGGGTCCATTCGTGGGGACTGAATTCTGGGCGTGGGCGCTGTCCCTCAGCTCTTCAGCTCAAGGCTAGCGCTCTACCACTTCAGCCACAGCACCCCTTCTAGTTTTTTTCTTTTTGCTTATGTGGTACTGAGGAATCAAACCCAGGGCCTTATGCATGCAAGGCAAACGCTCTACCACTGAGCCACCTTCCCCGCCCCAGGAATGATATTTTTGAAGCAAAGGAAATTTTGTGACTTTTTGATCAACACTTGGGATCCCTTTTCTAAGGATATTGTTGAAGATAATGATAGATAACAGGTTCTGTATAGCATTTGGAAATGAATTGAACTCAAATATAGGTATATTGTTAGGCAATATTAATTTGGCAAGTTTAATATATCCACAATTGTCAATTCTAATTGTCAAATTACTTTATCTGAAGTTAAATAAAAATACTTTTGGTCACAGAGATTTACAAAATATGCAAATATTAATCATGTTGTTGTTGTTGTTTAATGCACTGCTTCTCAAAGTGGTGTTCTCAGATCAGCAAAATCAGTACCACTAAAACCTGTAAGAAATACTCTATTTCTAGGCCCCACCCAGGAATGCTAGAAGTGAGACGCAGCATTTTATGGTTAATAAGTCTAGGAGGTAGTGATGATTCATCCTAAAATCTGAGAACCAATAAAAAATGTAATAAAACCTTAGCTATCTGCCTAAGCAAGTAGCTAATACTATATTTCTTTGTTTAATTTTTTTTCCCATAGATTTCAGGTCTTCTAGCTTAACTTCATTGTTGTGAATAACAGAATTTCACATAGCTCTTACTACAGTAATAAAATCCCCTCTCAGTTTTCCTACTGCAATATCAGACCTACTCCAAGAAACCTGCTACTCTCTCTTCTAATTTAGGAAATAGACTCACGTGTCTGTAAAAGTCATTATACAATATGGCAGCAATGGAATACGTATTTTGCATTAAATTGCACTCAAATTTCAGTCAGCTTAATAATGTGGTTTTACTTTTTCTTGGCTAAACAAATCCCAAATCTGCTTTTCTTATAAAGTTTCTTTTATCCTTCTTTATTCTTTGAATTCAAAGCTCACAATTCTAATTCTCACATCATCTCAGCTGGAAATTTCAGAGATAGAGACTGTTCTAACATCTGGCAACTTCACTCTGGCTCCTCTTGTTTTCATTGGTTCTTCTTCAATTCCCCAACCATCTGAATCCTAAGCCCTTCTTTCCAGTCTGACCACACGTAATTGCTCAAAGCTATTCTTCCAGCTCCAAGCCTTTGGGTATTATTATTGTTGTTGTTGTTATGATTGTTGCTATTATAATTATGTTCTTAATCACCTTATATTTTCCCTTTTCATTGTCATTACCATGCCTAGTTTGTTCTTTGAAAGAATCTCATTAAATTTTACCTAAAATGGCTTGAAACCATAATTTAATCTCTGTCTCTCAGGCAATTAGGATTACAGGAATGAGCTACTGGGCCTAGCTGTTCCAACTTTGGTTCCACACCAAGTCTTGATTTGATAAAAATAATAATTAAAAAAATACATACACATCTTCACTCACTACCACTTCTACATTATTGCTGATTGTGTCAGTGACTTGGTAGTTTTCTGATAAGACATGCCATTCTTTAAACCACTGAAATACTATACGTGCTTTTCCTTGCAACATTAGGTATTGTGGGTTTCTGCTTCTTTTTTTTTTGGGTCCGGTTGTGGGGCCTGAACTCTGGGCCTGAGCGCTGTCCCTCAGCTTTTCAGCTCAAGGCTAACTCTCTACCACTTGAGCCACAGCGCCACTTCCGGCTTTTTCCTTTTTGCTAATGTGGTGCTGAGGAATCGAACCCAGGGCCTCAAGCATGCAAGGCAAGCGCTCTACCACTGAGCCAACTTCCCAGCCCCGGGTTTCTGCTTCTTACACCTATGTATCAACTAATTCCAGCCTTCTCCTGGTCATTCTTTTTTCAGTCACTTCCTTGTCTTCTTTCTGCTCATAAATGTGGGAACCTCTATTCAGTGTTTCTGTCCATGACCACTCTTTTAATACATTTTTTGATCACTTCATTTATTCATCTGGCTTTAATTATTTTGCACAAACAATTCAAAATGTGTGTCATTAATCCTTGCGGGCTCAATATTGGATTTACAATTTTCTAGTATATAACATGTATTGTATAACCCATTAACATTTTAAACAATGTGCTCCAAGCTCATTTATTCTCTTCTACAACTCAAGCCAGAACTTAATCCAATCTTGCATATTTGTATTCATTGCTACACTTTACTCTTAAGGTTTACTCTGTCCTTGATAGGTAATTTCTCTGTAGGCATGTCACAGGACTGCATTAGGTCAATACATATTTGTCAAGGTAAATTAGAAATCTAACAATGTCCATTGTTACTCATGTAATAGAATGAATTCATAAATGCCTGTGAAAGCATTTATCTTCATTTACATACAAGATGCATTCTCCTAACAAGTAGGCTCCATGCAAATGAGCATAAACAATTGCTTTTAGTTAGACACTGATCAGATCAGACAATGTAGTTTGCATTTGAAAAAGAACTATTTTTTTTCTTCAAATCCAAGTAATAATTTAGGGCCTTACATCAACCTAATATCTGATATTACCAAGTAATTATTCTTGCTTTTTTTCTTTACCTTTTGTAGTCTGACTTAAAGTTGAACTTGGATAGCATAGTCAGATTGTTAGTTTCGTTTTTGTTTTTGTTTTTATTTTTGTTTTTCTACCTTAGGGAAACTTTTTTTTTTGGGGGGGGGGTCCGGTCATGACGCCTGAACTCTGGGCCTGGGCGCTGTCCCTCAGCTCTTCAGATCAAGGCTAGCGCTCTACCACTTGAGCCACAGCGTCACTTCCGGCTTTCTATTTTTTGCTTATGTGGTGCTGAGGAATCAAACCCAGGGCCTTGAGCATACAAGGCAAGCACTCTACCACTGAGCCACCTTCCCAGCCCTACCTTAGGGAAACTTTTGTGCATGGGGTTTTCAATCTCTCAAGACTGTTCTGCAATGTTTATGTAGATAGCACACAGTAAAAAAATGTGCTTTTGCTCTAATCTTTTGGCTTTTCTTGCTGCATAACTTGCTGGCACCTTTACAAAGTTATCTATATTGATATTTAAACAGTTGTGGCATTTTTTGAAACAATGTTTAGGCATATGTGTTTAATTATAGTGGAAAAATTCACTAATAATTGCTTACAAAGCTTCAAGACTGTTTTGATAATTCTATCTCAATAGAAAAGTGTGTGCTAGAGCAGTGTCTTTGTCAGTAGTGTCTTTATGGAGAGACTGTATTATACCAACTTCACTAGTTTATCCACATTGTCCTATAACACTGAATTACCATTTCTAATCAGTGATTTCTATTTATCCAAAATTCTAACAAGAGGATATTGGTGTAAAATAATTGGTAGTAGGGGGCTGGGAAGGTGGCTCAGTGGTAGAACGCTTGCCTTGCATGCCTGAGGCCCTGGGTTCGATTCCTCAGCACCACATAAGCAAAAAGGAAAAAGCCAGAAGTGGCACTGTGACTCAAGCAGTAGAGTGCTAGCCTTGAGCTGAAGACCTGAGGGACAGCGCCCAGGCCCAGAGTTCAAGGCCCACGACCGGACCCAAAAATAAATAAATAAAAAAAAAATAAAATAAAATAATTGGTAGAAACATGCTTTTTTTTTTTTTTAAGAATTCAAACCTTTTCTGAAATGGCTCTTGGGCAATCACAGGCTACTGTCCAACAATCTTTTAGCTTTTTGTATCTAAATGGGAGAATATATCATTTCTTCAGAATTGCCAAATCTCTAAAAACATTTTTAAAGACTTCTTTCACTGTTATGAACAATGATTCTCCAACTTGTTCACATGGAGGGAAGTTTCTTTTTCACTCAACGCTGGCACCCTACCATTTGAGCCACACCTCCACTTTCTAAGGAAGGCTTTTGTCATAGCTTCCTTCCTTCTGTGCCATCAAGAAATTTTTAGGGGGATTGGGGAAATAATCAGTCATCAAGAAAGCATGTGACAAGTTCACTGGAGTGCAAAACGGATATTATGTAAGTTTATTTGACATAAATATTATGAATAATTTTGTAATTAAAAGCATCCCCATGGGTAGTTGTGTGGCCTTAGTGCCTTGTAACTGTGATAATTAGTGTCAATAGTGAGTTTAACTCTAGCTAAGACTGAGATGCTGATAAATTGGCCTTACATTCTCATTGGAATGCCTCAGATTATAGTTTATGTATTGCCAGATAATGAACAGAGTAATCCAAAAAATAAATGAAAAAAGGAAAGGAAAGAGGGAAGGAGGGAAGGAAGAATGGATAGAGAAAGGAAAGGAAGAAGGAAAGAAAAAAAGGAGGGAGGAAGGAATGACAGAATTGGAAAACAAGATGGAATGAAAGACGAAAGAAGGAAGAAAAAGGGGAAGGTGACAGATGTGGTCATTGGCATTTAACTTTTACTTCTCTGTACATTATCAATATCTGGTCTAAGAGTGATCTGACTATGTAACCTATGGAACAAATCTGGGCAAGTGTATACTATATACACTAAGAATATTGTTTTATATTGGAAATGGTTAAGATACACAGAAGAAGAATATTTTGCAAGTAATAAAAATTAGGACTTAGG